TGAGATTGGAGCAGCAGGTATCTCGATCTTTGATCTACAGTCAGACTCTAACGTCATTAGATCCAGTAAAGCAGCTCGATAGCATCTGTGCCGACGCTCCTGTCCGGGAAATGCCCACGTCTTTCAAACTCGGTGCCACCGGCTGGTTGTCTGTTAAATATCTGGAGTCTTCTCCTAAAGTATAAACCGTCAGAACTGAACATGTCCAGTTATTTTACAGCAGTTAACAGGTGCAGCTGCAGTTCTGGTCATCAGGCGCTCACATGTACGTGGACACAGCTTCTACTGTTCCTGTAATTTGGCCTCACGTTTATAATTACCTTTTAAAGTGTTTCCGATGGAAGTTGATGTGAAATCAATCTGCAGCCCTTGTTCTCAAGTTAAACTAATCAAGGAGATGTTGTATCTACAGTCTGCAGCAGAGGATGGACAATAACACAAAGAGGCAATTCTGGACTAAAAACACATTAACTTTGGAAGATCCTTAGTTAACTTAATTATCTCTGGCTGCCGAAGCTCATTACCTTTAGATAAACGTTATACATGACTGGCTCACTGGATCCTGTCCTCCATTAGAACGTCTACTAAAGACCCTATATGGTGAAAATCCTTTTTTGTTGTGTTTTCTGTGTTTTTATAATCTCAGAGATGTAAATTAAAACCGAAGCCGCTCACTGCTGCCACGTCTCCGGCCCGTCCCTCAACTGAACGGCCTCCCGGCTTTGCATTCATCCAGATTCTGTGCAGAAACTGAGGAACCAACAGCCGCCCTCATTGGCTGCTGCATGGAGGGCGAGCTATTCAGAATGAGCGGCTGCTTTATAGTTCACCAGATGTATTTATTGCTGGAGGTGCTTCTGCTGACTCTCACCAGATATTCTGCTGTTTGCTGCAAGAGTGAACATAAGAATCCTGATGCACTCCCAGCATCTGAGGACCTGAACACCCAGTGAGTTGTTTTTTATTTCTGATGACAATTTCCCTACAAAAATCGTTAATGTGTTGTGTAGCTAATGTAACGAGCATTACCATTTGCTTTGACCGTACACCCACAGGTTAGACGTCTTCATGAACTCTGTGGGTTCCTGTGTTTTTATGTCGCCATCCATCATCATCTCTACACCTTAATCCTCACTAGGGTCATGGGGGGCTGGAGTCTATCCCAGCTGACTCAGGGTGAAGGCAGGTTCACCTGGACAGGTAACCAGTCTATCACAGGGCTACACTTAGAGACAGACAACCAAGCACACTCACATTCACACCTACGGACAATTTACAATCACCAATTAACCTCAGCATGTTTCTGGACTGTGGGAGGAAGCTGGAGAACCCGGAGAGAACCTACGCTGCACGGGGAGAACATGGAGACTCCACGCAGAAAGATCCCGGGTGTCCTCACCGGGACGAGAACCGGCGACCTTCTAGCTGCGAGGCGACGGTGCTAACCACTGTTTTAATACAGCTGGATTCCTGATAGATTCTCCTTCTCGTTTATGTAGAACTATGAAACTGTGACCAAAACGCAGCCCCTTAAAGCTGCAGGTTCACCAGCAGTCACCTCAAAGCCGTCTCCAAGTTTCTGCTAAAGCAAATATATAACAAACGTATTTTTCAACTGTAAAATTTAGAAAAAAAACAAATCAGATTATTTAGATTGAACTGAAAAGCGTTTCATTGGACTTCTTAACAAAAAGGCATCAAACATCAGCCAACTACACAGAAGTTAAACATGTAGAGGAACTGATAAAGAATGACTCCATGACGTCGTCCTCGTGTGTTTACAACCGTGTTCGCATTTATTTTCAGTAATTCTTCCCATACATATAAACAACCTGTACAAAACGGCTGAGCCTTTCCGCTTCTTTTCATTTCTTTCCTTTAGTTTTTTTTTTGTTTGTTTTTTTAGTCACAACATACAACTTGCATCATGATAACAACAATCAGCAAATATCATACACCCACTTTGCAATATTCAAACTAAACATTTTCTGTGCATTACAAAATAAATGTACACATACTTTGATTTTTTTTTTTTCTCCAAAAAAATAAAAAAATCGCTGTTATTTACAAATCCCACAACAAAAAAAGTAAACGTTCTCCACACCAGGTTGCTTTTACGTCGAACTCGGCTGTTCTCTTAAGCGCGTTCTCTTATTATTAACATATGGTATAATTTCAGTTTGTACAGATTGTTGTTTTTTTTTTCTTAGTTTTATTTTTATATTTCATCTCCATGTAGTCTGACTGAAAAACGATAGAGCACCTATGATACGTTTACTACATGAACATTTTTATTTATTTTTTTAAAAACTCTGATTATATTTCTCTATGTGACCTGAAAAGAAAAGAAAATTTCGTTCATGTCTACGTGTAACTGTCGTGTTTGATGTATGCCCCATTCAAGTATTAAGAACTGCATTACAGGACTGTTAGTATTCAGTTGTTGTCAGTAAGGCAGGAATGACGTTCGCATGATGGGAATGGTTTAAAATTTGCAGTTTCTCTTTTATTAGCTGCTCCGAAAATCTGAATGTTTCCACGATGTCGGTAAAATGTTTTTAAAAAAAAAAACAAAAGTTGAACTGAATCTTGAATTTTGATTTAAAAAAAAGAAAAAAGGTTTTGGAGCAGGCGATGAAGACGAGCCGCCTGCTGATATCGTAGTTGCATCTGGGCAGAAATAAAGTGATAACACCAGACGAAATCTACAAACCACAAAAGGTACCGTACTACAACCAAAAACTGCTGTGAGAAATAAAATCTATACATATATTTACTTGCGATTCAAACGTGTTTCGTCGACACATCTAAGCGTGTTTTCCTCCGTGTGTCTCTCTGAACGCTCTCTGGCCTTTAGCTGATCCTCTGCTGTATGTCTGTGGAAGAGGCAGTGTTTTATGGCAATAGAAGGTAGAAGTCACGTGTGCATATCATGCTGCACTAATATAGTGCAATGTAGTGCCTGAAACAAAGCGAGGGTGGAGGCAGGCAGGCAGGCAGGCAGTAGTTTCCATGAACAACTGATTGCAGGCTACTCCTCCATCAGCATCATACAGATCGGTTTATCCCACAAACACAGGCCTGTGTGCCACCGAATCAAGCGAAAACAAAAACAAAAAAAAAAGAAAAAAAGGAGAAGAAATGCCTCCCTTTTGTTCAAGACTGTAAAAGAGATTTGAGTCACAACCCAGTTGAGGATTGAGAAAAAGGGATCCAAACCTTTTTATGGAGATTTTCCTCTCCCTCCTCCTCCTCTTCCCTGCGGTGACTTTTGGCAACGTACGAACCGTCAGAGCATCCTAAGCCTCCAGCTACTCAGCATTTTTAGGGACAAGCAGAAAAGCGCGGGGGAAGAGTTGGAGCTTGTGCTGCCATGTTCTGAGACAGCAGGAGAGCTGGGTCTGTCTCCTGCACCCAGCCTGCATGCGTCTCAGACGAGTCTTTTGTTTACACAAATATGGACGTGGAGGGCGCAAAAAAAAAAAAAAAGGCATTTCGTTGAACACGCTGGAGGTCATGAAGGCTCTTGCAAAAGAAAACAAACAAACAA